CATCATCATCAACAGCCTATAACAGTCCACTGCTGGACATAAGCCTCTCCTTAGAAAGGAGGTTTTAGCCTACTATACATTGATGGCCAGTCGGGTTGATATAGGGTTTTCCACTATCATGGGGTGCCAAAGTACCTGAGGCGGCTAGTGGCAGACTATTTAGAGGAGCGTACCGTCGTGTACGAGGACCGAGAAGGTAATCTGAGGTGTCGGCCCATGTCGTGCGGTGTTCCACAGGGGTCTGTTCTTGGACCCCTCTTGTGGAACATAGGGTACGACTGGGCCCTTCGCGCCGATTTCCCCCCCGGGCTGCTTGTAATCTGTTACGCAGACGATACCCTGGTGACAGCCCGGGGGGCAAACTTCCAAGAGGCGGCGCGCCTGGCCACAGGGGGAGTGAGGCGCTGGGCTTACGGGTGGCCCTAGATAAGACGGAGGCCCTGTTATTTCATGGGCCCCGTCGTGGTCCACCCCCTGGCGCTTCAATCGTGGTCAACTCGGTCCTCGTACCGGTTCGGGCCCAGATGAAATATCTGGGCCTGATCCTCGACGGGAGGTGGCTCTTCGACGAGCACTTCCGACAGCTTGCTCCAAAGCTGGTCGGCGCTGCGTCCGCCCTAGGGCGACTTTTGCCCAATATGGGTGGACCCAGCGTCGCGACAAGACGGCTGTACACGGGGGTTGTCCGGTCAATGGCACTGTACGGTGCACCGCTGTGGGCGGCGGCTCTGACCGCCCAGAATAGGGTACGCCTCTGGCGCCCTCAGTGGGTAATGGCGGTCAGAGCCATACGCGGTTACCGCACCGTTTCGACGGAGGTGGCATGCGCGTTGGCCGGAACTCCCCCGTGGGATTTGGAGGCGGAAGTGCTCGCCGAAGTTTATCGGCGAGTGGCTAACTCCCGGGCGGAGAGCGGATTTCGCCCTCCGCCCGAGGATGTGCGCGAGTGGCGCGAAGCCGCTCGCCGAGCCACGATGGCTCGTTGGTCGTTCCGGCTGGAGACTCCACGCGCTGGCTTCGCCGCCGTGGAGGCTCTCCAGCCGGTCATCGCCGAGTGGGCAGGGCGGCAGCACGGGACCCTTTCCTTCCGGCTGATGCAGGTGCTTTCCGGGCACGGTTGCTTCGGAAAGTACCTGCACTCGGTCGCTAGGAGGGAACTGAGTCCCACCTGCCACCACTGCGACTGCAGTGAGGACTCGGCCCAGCACACGCTGGCGGTCTGCCCCGCATGGGCGGCGCAGCGCCGGGCCTGTGTGAGACTGCAGTCATCGGAGTGGATCTCTCGCTACCGGCCGTAGTACGCTCCATGGCCGGTAGCGACAGTTGTTTTACCGCGGTCGCAACCTTCTGCGAGGTAGTAATCTCGCGGAAGGAGGCGGCGGAGAGGGCCCGGGAGGACGACCTCCACTCGGACCCGATCCGCCGCCGGCGAACCGGGCGGCTGAGACCCGCCTATCACCGCCTCATGCCGCCCTGAGTGTGGCCGCGGGTGGACGGGGTGGGTTTCCCCTCCACCCGCATTAGTTTGGCCAGCCGCGAGGGGGCGGCGTCCGCGTGTGCCGGACGTCGCCTAAAGAGAGGAAAAAGTATTGAGACGGAGCCCGCACCAGGAGCAGGCTGGCGCTAGGAGGGGTCCGGATGTCTTAACAACAGCTGTTCCCGGATCCCTCCTGTTACAGGCGCAGAGTGGCACACCGTGTGGTTTTAGTCGGTCCGAGTCCGACACACCACCCCGCCGCAAACCCCGGAGGGGTGACGGTCCGAGGGGATCTCCACACGTTAAAAAAAAAAAAAAAAGGGTTTGTTTCGAGTTTTCCTTCTCTTTGCAGTGCTGTTGTCCTGCGTAGTTTGCTCCCTTAGTTGGCACTTACGACACCCACGGGATGTATAGGGTTGGTGACATTCCGTATTCCTAATCCGTCACCACGTTTACATGAGTTACATTTATCACAATTTTAATAGAAAAGAAGACTAACTTTAATGGGATCCGATGCTATTTGTGTAGAGATTCTATGTAAAATATGTCTGTAAACTTAGGAAAAGCTTACAATATTTACCTTTTACAATTGTGAAAAAAACCCAGCAAATACTTGAAAATTAAAAAGCGTTTACAAATACACTAATCTTGTTTTTCAAACGCTTACCATATACCAAACTATTGCCGCTTCACATCATATCATCACATCAACAGCTTTTAATATTCCACTGCTTTAAATAGGCCTCTCCTCAGAAAGAGGTTGCCGCTTCTTGCGCCATGAATGTTCAAAGCAATGGCAATAGTGCATTCCAGAAACTATTCATTCAACTTCGGGAACGTTCTTGAAATAATTACATTTAATTTTTTACAGTTTTCTTTAAGAATGTATTTGAGTTGTTTACACTATATGCGTTACATGTATATTAATGACTTATGAGTTCGTAAATTCGTTTGTAACTGTTTTTTCTGTATAGAGAGTAGAATGGCCGCAACTAGTTAAAAAAAATTAATCTTAGTTTTGTGTGGTTATCTTTAGATTAAAATATTATTGAAGAATACAACGAAGCAGTTATATCGAACTCTAAAGCCACATTGTGTCTCCGGCATCGGAGCTATTGAAGAGAGAGATAGCATAATATACATAGAAACACTTATGTTGCTTTTATGCTCAGGGCCTAGTTATTTATTCCTCGTGAACTGTAAACTATAAGTATTTTACTATTTCATCTAGATTCAATATGAGTTACACAAAATAGTAACTGCGCTGAACGCCTTACCAGATTAAAACCATTAAAAAAAAATGGGGAGGTCAATTCATTGCGTGTGTTACATGGCCCTTCGAGCCTGATGACCCATACTAAGGATTTTTAGAAGAGTACGATATGTCTACATATACAAAGACATGCGTTTATGACCCAACCTTTATAGATTTGTATAATATACAGCGTTACATCTTTTTAATATTTTTATATGACGGTTAAACCACATTTTATTTGCCTTTAATTAGGCAAAAATGGCTTTTATAGGGTCAATAAAATAATTCAAACATTGAAACTCATTTATACTCACGATTACTAACCAACTTAGTATCATGTATGAGCCACTTGTCCCGACACTAACGACTACAGTTCTGTGGAACATGGCCGAAAGACGTCGGTGGCCGCACGATAGGCTATAAAAAGTTACGTTAAACAATAATCAGTCGAGCGGGGCCCTTTAGCCCTTCGCCCTCTCTTTCGAACCGTAAACATTAAACACCCGCTACGCCTTATGCACATACTCTTTAAAAAGATAACAAAAAATAGATGAGTAATAAAATAGTTGGCTACATGCTTATTGCTACTTATTTGTATTATAATTAAATTTTAAGAAACAGTTAATTTTGAAAGACTACATGAAAAGATTTTAAACGTCTTGTTGGTTGAGGAGATAAATGCAGTAATATACTCGCGGTGTCTTACAAAAAAAAAACCTATTTCATTTTCTTTACATTATAACTAGAAAAAAGTATGTCAACTTTTATGATATAACTTGGAGAGATTATTATAGTGTTTAGACAACGAATGTAAAAAAATAATTTATCCAACTTACCCACCTTACCTCCCTAATGTAATAGATCCCTCACTTGTTATATTATTGTAAATCAATTCAAACAATATAGGTATAAATGGAGCGCATTTTGTTTTACGTGCAGCATTTTGTAAGTTCGCCTTAATGAATTATTTATTCAGTGTATTGGCTGTGGCGGCTTTTGCAATGCCACGCATTGAATTATCGATACTATAAAACATTATTATTATAACTAATAGTTGCTTAATGTCAAACCGTAATATAACTTATTCATCCATTTGCTTAGCATAGATACTACATTTGTATGTCTGACTTAGTTAGGTACACTGGCAAAAATTTGAAATTTGCTAGTTTACTATGTAGTATACTATGGAAATCATTAAATAAATTATATTTCAGTTCGTGTTAACTTATATTATTTTATTCTACTTTGTTTGGTTGGCACTCTTTCAACTGTATCCCATAGAAAGCCGAACCGCTTTAATCAAACTCTACAAACACATGTAGTGTTAGCATTACACATAACTAATTATGTAGTGTTAGTTATCCTCTATCAACTCTGTAATGCAGGTAATTTGTTACATGCCCAATCTATGAAACGTATACATACTAATTTAAGGCTTATGAGCATCGAGCATTCATTAACTTTATGTCGAAACTTAACTCGGTGAACAAATCAAGTCCACGGCACGGACAGCTACATTGAAATTAGGAAAGTTTTGAAAGGAACTGTTAGCAAGGACCAAAAAGCTCACAACAGACAATATGCTAAAAAACAGAAAATTACATACTTTTCAGCATCATCGTAAAGTCGCCTGCTTATCGGTTCTTAATAGGATTTGCTTTGGTAAGTGTGCGAAAGCTCCCTCGATTTAATTGGACCCTCAACTATTCCTTCATCGGACTACTAGACACAAACAAAAGTTCTTTCCATTTATTGTCACTACAAGTGAAAGTCAAACTAAACTGACTTGTTTTAGTAAAACTGCTTCAATTTTTAAACAATTTGAACCCACAAAAGCTTAGATGTAGAGTGAAGGTTTATCTTTCGTTCTAATCTATAATAGAAAACTTTTTGAAACTGCATGTAATCGAACCAATTAGTTATAAAAGATTCACGTTTTAGTATTGTAGTAAATTCAATTTATGTACATAATACTGGGTGACTCTTAGTGAATAATCCTGGTTCAACAACGAATATGATTTCTGACCGCTGAAATTGAACACGTGCTTGCAATTAAATTATCTATGTAAAATTAAGAAGTTTAGTAGTTCTGTTCTGAGGTCCCGCTCAGGACACAATACTTAATTATCGATTCAGGTTGCTTGGATCAGATAACAAGGACACCGTAAAAACTGATAGCCTGATAAAACTTAAAATAAGGAAGATGAATAATCTACGACTAATTAATTTTGCACAAGAAAATGTATTCAAATCCATACTTTATTTCAGGTAAGCCGTTCTGCAATTGCAGTTTGTGCGAAAGTATGGCTCGTACCTCGTCGTACGGTGAGTTACACAACAAATAAGTAATTTAAAAACACAACAATCTGCCTTGACCTTTCTTTCAATACTTTTGGACAACAGTTGCAAATTGCGAATGAATGAATATTTTACGTCTGTCTGTGTAGGGGAAAATTCTGAATATAATCGCATTAGCCGTGTTTTCAACCTTTGTCCAATTGAATCTCCAATGCAGTAATCAAGTGGGAACGAGACTGGGTCAGGGGGTCGTTCCGGCCCGGCGCGCGCCCGCCCGCCCGCTTCGTCCCGTCGCGATCCCATGTTACATTATTCACAAATATAACTCTCACGTTAAATACTACCAATAAATATCTTTACCCTTGTGTTTACTCGCTAAAAACACTTCAACTCTTTTGTTTATCCGGGATGATGCACGATGACCCAGTGGCACAGCGCATGTGATTCGAACAATATTTCGAAAATCGAATATAGCTTGCAATTGTTGCAACAGTTTTTCTTCAAATTTGCATTGCAAATATACTGGCAAATAAATTATTTCAATACACATCAAGTACACAAGTAGCGAAGTTTAAAAGTAATCACACATCTGACATTTTTGTATTCTAACTTTTTAAATTGTTTGCTGTGTCTAACGTAATTGAATGTAGCATAGAAATTTTAAATTAAATCGATTGTAGCCTTCCACATTTTAATCAATTTAATAAGTAGTCGATAGCGATCCAACCTTCAGAGGCAACGGGTATAATGTTTCTCCATATCTTAATCAACACAGTGCTCTGTATTTTACCGTCATTTAACACCGCCCCAATAAACTCGCCACCCATTGCTCGGTTAAATATTGACGACAAATTAATTTCGTCATTGCGCGGTTCTCGTTGGCGAAACGCAACCCTCGCCGCACTGAGAGGAAGTACGCACCGGTTGCTTCCCTCAGCAAACGTGAATGCCTGTTCTTGAATATCGTTTAGTGGTATCGAGTGATTAATAAATAATATTAGTTGTTGGCCCGCATGCTGAATCGTGTACATAAATAACGTTAAAGGAGTGGTCGGGGCGGCGCGTCACCGCTCCTCCACACACTAATACACCCAATCTATTATATCAACTAGTATAATTATAGCGATTCTATTCGTGTCGCGAGCTACAGTAACTCGATTGATTGCCTATACAATAATTAGCCGTAGGGAATATCGTTAGTTCACATTGAACGACCCGATCTCAATATCGCCACTTACGGTACCTTTTTATGATTTAAGTAAAATCGCGATTACTTACTCATGTTTTATTGTTTTACTGTGCGTTGGAATAAAAAATCAATTTATTTTAGTCAGTATTTATATGTCGCAGGAAGAAGGGTTATTTTTGAAACCTACATAACTTGGGTTTGGATTATACCAGGTAAACAAATCTCTCGGGATATTATGATGTCAATAGTGGATTCATTTGCTCTTATATTTTAGATTTTATTGATATCTTGTTCTTTCCCTAGGGTACTTCCTGAAGTCCTAGAAAGCTGAAATTTGGTATGTAAACTAGTATTAGTACTTACTAAACAAACAACCAAAACATTCTAAAACTTAAAACATAACCCCCCCCCCCCCCTCCTCAACCCCTTAAACTAGGGGATAAACGTTTGAATGAGACCACCGCAAATTTTGATAGCTAGAGATCTGAAAATTTATATAACAAAGCAAAAAGGGAAAGATAGAGAGTGAGCCATGAAAAAAGCACCTCTGATGTGCAAGAAATACGCAAAAAAAAGATGAACAATGTAAAAAATGTTGTCATAAGCAACTTACAAAAAGAAGTGAAATCCCAGCTGGTCATTTTTATGTACAAAGTTGCCAAGACGAGATGGTCTCGTCTTGGCAACTTTGCAAATGGCTCGCACTGTCAAAAAGTAATCAAATCTAATGTAGAGCCACGCTTCTAACTTAACAAGCCCTAACTTCACAAACTCTAAACCCTAGTCAAAATATGTGGCCTGGCTGTTTTGCTACCGTGTCATGGGCGTAAGGTGAAATTTTATTTCCCCTGTTCATTACTTTTTGTAATACAATATTGCTTGTAGTGACAATGTTATAATTGATGATGATATTGAAATAAAATTGACATTCACAAAATCTGTTTTGTATTTAGACATGGGATCAATAAAAGGACGTACGTACTTTATAAAAATCTTGTACATAATAAAAAACTATCTAACTAATCAAGTAATAAAGTATAATAGAAGAAGTCAAAAGTTCTTATGTGTTACGGTTTTTTTTAATTTTTAACAAAGACATAGTTTTTAAGCCATATAGCCTTATAGCTTTATTCCTACGGATAAAACAATATCACGGCTATAATAGTCATCTTATTGTGACATATTGATACACACTCGTAGCGCGGCATTTCACGTGGTCTGAATTTAGTGAATAAACAGAGATTTTGCTAATAAATAATAAAGTGTTACGAAGAATGAATTAATTGCTGCTGATAACTTTTATATTGAAGCTAGTACGTTTATTCACGAGTATGTATACATAATTACGTGCTTATAATTATTAGATGCTTTAAAAACATTTTAAAAATAGTAATTGGGGTTTAGGATCTATAAATAAAGTGGCCGTGAAATTCATAGCGACTCATAAACACATGTTCTTGTTTATCATTCATTTTGTTAATTAATTACAAATCATATACTTTTGAAATTTGATTACTTAAAGAATGTTGAATATGTAAAGAATCGCATTAAAAAGTTACTTTTTAGTAATTTTAGATATGTATAGTATTCCTAAGTTCTACTAGAAGTTTTTTGTAACGACATCCTTTTTAAATAAAAACCTACGCAATCCAATTCTACAAACCATGAAATTCAATCTTATTGACCCAGAGTTAAGGCTTAAGCAGCTAAACTTTTTCACGTAGTATCGAGAATGACCTAAAAACTGAAGCCACCCTAAAAAAAATGGTTTAACTAATTGTTTCCTTATAAGTATTTTGTAAGATGTGATCTCATAGCCGCTATCTACAATTGTATTATCAATATCCGCACTCGTCAAGATAATGTAAATAATGTACCTATGCGTTATGTAAATCGCGTTAATTTTTGCGAAGGCCGCAGTAAGACCTCGCAAAAAGCAGACTCGACCTCGCGTTTATCATTGTCGTGATATCTTGATACGCGTACTAACTGCCTTTTGATAGCTTTACTTCTGGTGCTTCCCACTGTCCTGTGTAGACGCGTACCGTACGTCGCCATATGATTCCAATTCCAAAACTTTTAAGTTTTTTTTTAATATGTGGAAGAAATTTTACAGCAGTAAGTTGGCTTTTGATATTTTAAAACGATAGCTTTGTATTGGGCTATTTTTTGAGACGGTTCTTTTTCATAACGGTTGACCTTGAACAACTCATTATTGTATTCATATCATATTCGTCGCGCGTATTGTCAAATCATAATCACGAAGCATGAGTGACATTTTGCAAATACAGATTTTTTTTAATGTTACTTTTGCATTTAAGTTCTAAACTTGCGATAAATATAATACATTTAGAATAGCATAAATAAATAAAACACTATTTGGCGCTTTGCCTGTTACAAAAAGTATCGTGTGTTTCTCCCAATTCAAATTTCATTGCCACACATTGCGATAGGTACCTATATGTGCACATTAAAGTAAACAATTAAAACGTGTTTTGTATTTGTTATATTAAACAGATGTTAATTAACACAATTTATATACAGTATCGGTAGTATATAATATTAGTGATTAATTCAATCTAGTTGTAAAACTTCGTTGCTTAGAGGAAAACATTAAACAAAACAACTTAAATATTTTTCAACTTAATTACTCATTTCCATAAAAGTAATAAAAGGTTTAGTGGCAATTAGTTCCAAGTGTGAACAATTAAATTTAACTACGCATGTACTTCTTTTTTTTTTGTTTGTGTATTTTTACTTTAATGGAAGTGTTGTAGTTTACTTGCAAGCTCACAAGTAATGAACTCTTTATTATGATAAAAATTAAACAATTAAAAAAAAACAAAATTAACTTTAAATGCTTCAATAAATAATATATTAAATAGGGCCCTCAGTAGCAAACTTTATCGAATGTAGGTAAAAAAACTTTTAGTCGCGTGTTATGTAATAACAACTTTATATGTTTACAGTGTTACTTCGGATTTAGATAATTAAATTGAAATAGTTATCACTTACTAATAATAAATGTATGTAAAAAACAATTTTCATCTTATCTTTTTAATCTGAAAATGCAGTTCACTTTTATGTTCTATATTTTATTAAGATTTAAAACAACAAAATATTTCACCTTCGCATATGTTGCATATGCAATTGAAATGTTCAATAAAGCAATCAATGCGAGCGCTGTTTTATTTAATTGTCTCAACATCTAAATTACTTGCGGCGAAATGTAATTTGTCTGGAATAACTATTAGTTATTATATAATATTCCATATTATAGATTTAGTTCAGGTTTAGGTTCAGGCGTTTTATTAGAATCTCACGTCTATATCGCTAATGTGACAGGCAGGACTATATTCTAGAAATGTTCCTTAGTGCCACTCCATAGCAGTGTTCATAGGGGGTGGTCCCGTATATGCAAAACCGTGCCATTGTCCCCTTGTCAGTTGCCAGTACATTGCATATCAAGACTTTATTTTAACAGTTGTTTACCTGTATATTTCCAATGCATACGTTATTATAATATGCGGGCCCACCACAATATATATAGAGACCAACATAAGTAGAATAAATAATCTTTACTATAGAATATAAAACACAACTTTTTTTACCGAATAGGGGGCAAACGAGCCCTAGTTATTAGTTAATAGTTTATTTATTTCTTGTTTTATAATTTTTATATTTTATTCTTTAATAATTTATTTTAATTATTTATTTCTTTTAATAATTTATTATAATAAAAACAAATAAATCATTTCCTCAAAAAACGTAATATATTTTCAACTACCGATATTTATACCGATGCCAATGGCTACTCGATGGCATCTCAATAGCGTGTCAGTGGTATGACACTGGCTAGGCGTAAACATAAAATAGCAGAATTGAGGCTGATGGAAAGCGACTACCGCCGCCCATGAACGCCTGCAACATGTACCAGTCAGTCTCGTATTCTCTTAGATTTTATCATAAATAAACGAATTAATATTTCATTAATCCTAGATAAAAAGATATAACTGTGTATATGTAGTATAAAGTTTTCTAAAGTAGAAGTTAAAGTTTCAAACAAAACTCAAACTTCCATCCACCACAATTTTAATCTCATATCAAATCTAATATGGAACAATAGAATTAACAGTCCACCCTAAATCCCAGTAACACCCTAAATCCTTGTAGGATTTAGGGTGGGATCCATCACAAGAATAACCGATCCCTAGTATCAGCACACCTCCAGCGCCTTTGATCAATATAATTACGAAAGGAATTAATTAAGATAAGATATTAAGTAGCAGTGAAAGTTAGCAAGCAGTGCCAGCACTATCAAAGGCATCAGAATTATGGAGGAAATATAGAATATAGATAGATATATATAGAATATATAGGAAAATAAATAAAACTCACACAATTGTTTTAAAAAAAAATGTTTTTATATTAAAAACTATTATCCTATTGCGACATCATTGCGTAGCTCTGAATTTTAGCAGCGAATTGTTCTTATTTGTTAACTAATCTGTATAAAAAAAAGGGATAATCATTTCGAGCATACATCATAAACATATTAAGAACCATATACCCACATTGGGTCAACCAAATAATATTAATAATTGTGAATAAAGGGGCGGATAGCGTGGTACGTGTTAACCGTCGCGGCGCCTTGTAAATAGGGTTGTCATACGTTATTCACCCACTCAATGAATTCCGCACTCGACGAGAACGCAGATACAGAAGGGTATGGTATTTGGGTTATAGGGGTTTTTTTAAATCAAATATGCAGGATTTTGATTCGTATTTTTATAAACTTAACTGTGTATACGTAAAATACGTTTAATATATTTAATACGTGTCAGAAGAATTTAAAAGTTGTTTAGTCCATTGCTATAGAAATACAAAGCTACGCGACAGATTTTAAGCATGTCTTTCATTTTATAAAAACTAATTAAACCCCGCGTGGTGACGGATTAAGAATACAGAGTGTCACCACCCCTATTCATCCCGTGGGTGTCGTAAGAAGCGACTAAGGGAAAAAAACTAGGCAGGACAACAGCACTGCAGAGAGAAGGAAAACTTGACACAAACCCTATACCAACCCGTCTGGCCAGCGTGGTATAGTATAGGCCAAAACCTCCTTTCTGAGGAGAGGCCTATGTCCAGCAGTGGACTATTAAAGGCTGTTGATGATGATTGATGAATTAAACTGTGCCGTGGGAGAGCTACACCGGGGTGATAACACGGCCTCACAGAAAACCAGTGTTAAGCAGTTTTTCGTTGCGTTTTGCCGAATGAGTATAGTTACCGGAGCCCTAACCCACCCCAGCTAATTCCAGGA